ACTGAAGATCCCAAGGACTGCCAAAAGAACAAGTAGATACATTTTGAAGAAGGTGCAGCCTGAGTCCCCTCTGTAGGCAAAGGTGATGATGTTTCATCTCACATACTTTGCGCATGTTACTAGGACAGGTTATTCCTGTAGAGGGACATCATGTTTGGGAAGGTGGAGGGATTGCAAAAGAAAGGAAGCCCCTTGACCACGTGGGTTAACGCAGTGACAATGGTAATAAGGTCTGAGTGGGTCAGAGATTATGAAGATCACAGAATAGAACAATGCTCAGATCGGGTGTTCATAGGGTTGCTATGAGTAGTACTAAGCCCTACGGCATTTATCAACAAGAGACACAAATCAATGGAAAATTACAAACACTGCTACAAGAAATAATAAGAGACCTCACTATTCTCTGTTCATGAATAGAAAGATTTAACATTGTGAAAATGACAGTTCTGCCAAAAGCAATCTGCAGGTTCAATGCAATCCCAGTACAGATACCAAATTCATTCTTCAAAGAGATACAAAAGGCAATTCCTATTTCATTTGGGAAGGAAACATACCCAGAATAAACAAAGCTCTTTGAAAACAAAAATGCAGTTGAAGGCATCTCACTTCCTGACCTCAAAACCTACTATACAGTCAGAGTGATCAAAATAGCATGATATTGCCACAATAACTATTGATCATTGGAATAAAATCAAGAGAAATCAACCCATCAACTTATAGTCAGCTGATATTTAACAAGATAATAAAGCCCATTAAATGAGGAAATTACAACTTCTTTAACAAATGGTCCTCGCAAAACTGGTCATCTGTGTGTAGAAAACTGAAACAAGATCTATGTCTCACACAGTACACAAAAACCAAACCCAAAACCATAAAGATTATTAGAATGGGAACAAAATTAGAAGCCCTGGCCTGGGACATAAATAGGCTTGTAAACATAATAAAAATGCTCAAACTGGAAAAGATAAAATCAACAAATGGGACTTTCTTAAAATCAAATCCCTGTGTACATCAAAAGCTTTCTCTATTATGGTAAAAAAGCCTACAGATTTGGAAAAAGTATTTGTCTATGACATTTCGGACAAGGGTTCCCTAACTAGAGTTTACAGAATACTGGCAGGGCTCTACAAGAAAAAGACTGACAACCCAATCACAAAATGGGAAAAAGACATGCAAAGACTTCATACAGGAGGACATTTGGATAGCTAACTAATACATGAGGAAATATTCAAAATTACTAGCAATCAGAGAGATGAAAATCAAAACACCAATGAGGTACCATTTCACTTTAGCAAAGTTTAACAACAGAGCAAACAATAAATGTTGGATAAGAAGACACAGAGAGATTGGAACTCTTCTGCACTGCTGATGGGTTTGTAAAATGGTACAACCACGATGGAAAGCAGTTTGGTGTTTTCTCGAGAAGTTGAAAGTAGAAATCCCATATGACACAGTTATTCCACTGTTAGAAATGTATCCCGAGGAAACTAGAACTGAGACATGATTGGAAATTTGTACACCTCGGTTCAAAGCAGCATTATTCACACAACAGCAGGAAAATAGAAACAGCTCCAAATGCTCGTCAGCAAATGAATAGATTGAGAAATTGTAGTACATTCATTCTCAGTGATGGAATACTATGCAGCACTAAGGAACAATGACTTTGTAAAATACTACATAACTTGGGAGAGACTAGAGAGAATTATATTAAGTGAAATGTCTAAGATATTGCATAATGGCTGATCAAGGTAAATAAAGATGATCAAAAGAGGAAAGGAAAAGGGAGAAGAAGGGGCAGAAAAAGGGAAAAGGGGGAAATCACTGAGCAAGCAGAGGTCAGTGAGTGGAAGGATGGTGAAGGATTGGGAAATGTTTAACAGGGATTTTAAAAGATGGGATAAAATTCAAAGAGCAATGGTAATAAGTTGTATAAGATATAATGCTTATGAATGGTGTAAAACACGAGTTACATGAACAAAACACAATATATATAAATATTGTATAAAACAAAATCCATGTACAAAATACAACATGCAAAGCAATAAAAATTAAAAAGAAAATTTAAAAAATCTTTTATTCCTATTTAAAAAATTAAGTGAAAATAGGAAACCATCTCTAAGTTACCATGGGTAATAATAATGATACAGATAAATATTTATTGAAAGGAAAGAAAGTTTTTCTTTAAAATTATACATTCACAAGAAGTTACAAAATAGTTAGCCTTTCACCAACTTCTCCCAAAGATAACACATACCACAATATCGAAACCAAGAAATATGCTAAATGAATTCAGTCCCATAAGGACAAATACGGTATAAAACCGTTATTATAGAACGTGTATGAGGATCCAAGGTTGAGGGTAAGCAGAGATCTAAGGATGGGCAGGGATCAGGATTGGTGTAGTGGTTAATCGTAGAATCGCACAATTTGATGAATGGAGGGATAAGTGGGTAAAGGAAATGAGAAAAATCCAGTGTGAAAAACAATGTATATTAACTTTGTAAGTAAACCAGTATAAAATTAAAATTTTATTTTAAATTTTAAGGGGAGCTCTGGTGGCCTAGTGGCAAAGAGCTGCAACTACAATCCCAG